TGCAAAGCATCTAAACTCTTATCACATTTCATGTTTGGGTCACTTGTGGTGGCTGGACAGACCTGGGTTCATTTTGTTTAACCTCCAGCTCCTGTGGAAAGGCTTTTTGGGAGGGGGCAGGAAACCTTCCAGAGCCAGGGACATCCTCAGAGCAGTTAAATCCTGCTCTCCCTTTGCAGCCTGGGGAGAGCAGGGGGAGCTGCACGTACAGCTCACACTGAGCATTTGTGCCTGCTCTGTTACCTGGTTTCTTGAGAAAAACCCAGGCAGGGCAAAACCATCCCTGAATTAAAGAGAGTTTCATGGACTTAAGCACTGGCTGTGAGTAACCTCGTCCTGTCTGCAAGAGAATATTTGGAAATTTGAGTTGAAAGGAGATTTAGTCATTCTGCTTGATTTGGACTGAGATTTAGGCATAATGAGGGCAAAAATGGTGCCAGTTTTGCTGTCTTTTCAGTGAGGAGCTGGAAACTGCTTTCCTGTTTCAGCAGAAAGCTGGGTATTGGCAAGGAGAGAGCAGAGGCTGAGCTATCCATGCTTGGCTCCCTGGAATAAAACTCCAGGGCTGCAGAAGAAAGGGACCTATAATTTAATTATTTTCACTGGCCTAAGCTTTTTTTTTTTTTTTAGGTAGTTTTCACTGTGCCTTGTCTGGCAGCCTCTTGCTTTATAGCAGATGTGGTTTAGTTTTGGAATTGACCCTTTCAGTCTTTCTTTGAGGGTGTACCTAATCATACCACATTCACCTGACCTAGGTGAAATCCCACCTCTTCTTTTATCCCAAACTCTGCAGGCCAGCTGCTGATATTGCTGGCTGAGGAGTTCAAAAGGTACCATGGGATTAGCTTGAATTATTGATGCCACTTTCCTTCCATATACGTGTAATTATCTGCTCTTGGGGCACAGCCCAGCCAGAATCCCTGTTGGACTCCACAGCTGGGCAGGATTGCAGGAAGCCTGGAACAGACCCTGGGCTGCATGGAAAGAAGGCATGGGAGAGGGAATATGTTACCTTTGCATGAGCTGTGATCCAGGGACAGGGCAGCTTGCTGGAATCCATGTAGGTACGTTACAAAAAAATTACTGTGCTGATAAAAAAAGGGATTTGAGCAATTTGTACAGTGAATGAAAATAGAAACTTAATTCTTAAGTTCCAGGCAGGTTCCTTTAATATTAATGATTGTACTTTCCTCTGTATGAGTTGGGAGAATCCACTGTGCTCAGGGAAGACAGACAATTCCCTCTTGGTCTTAAAATAGCAGCGTGAGCTTTCTGCTCTTCTTTTTATCTGTCGGTTCATGCTGTGATTCTTGACAGCACTGAAGATCTTATTTCTCTGATGTGAGTTATTCTCATTTCTTCTAAAAAGGGAGAATGCCACAGAATTGTTCTTTTTCCTGTAGTGATTTAGGTGAAGTTGCTGTGCTGAGGGGAGCTGAAAAACTGATGAGCAGCATCTTTCACCTGCTGCAATGTGTCCAGCAGGCAGATGGTCCAGGGCAGTTAATCAGAGCAGGTCTGATGTCAAAAGAATTGTTTATATAAGCAGTGATTCATCTTCCCATTCCCAGTAATAACAGTGGTGTTACAAACCAATCTGCTCTAAAACCCTGTCTCTGAAGAATTGTAAACTCCAGTTTTTCACTTTCTAACCCAGATTCAGTCTGGGGTCGTGTCTTTACAGTGAGTCAAACCAAACTCCTGTGTCTAAGCTCCCCACAAATTTGGGCAGTGTTCCTGACCTTCCTCCTTATCCAAGAATTTCAGCATTTTTGTTTTGTGGAAGGCTTTAGCTCTGCAGACACATGACTATCTAGCCACAGCACATAAAAGCAGACTTTTATTTATTATTTTCTCCTGCATTTGGCACTGTAGAGAAGCTGAATCAACTATAAGCCCCCAGGAGGACAGATTATTAACAACTATTCTGTACTGAGGATTTAGGGTCTAATTCAGCTGCCATTAATCTCAGTAACAAAAGTCTTGTTGCAGGATTTAGAGATCTAGGCCAGGAGTACTGGGGCCTAGAGATGGGGAGGGGAGAGGCTGAAATGAGGTGAGCAGACACCTGGGGAAGAGGATTGGTGTTAAGAGATGAGCTCTGCACTGTGCAGAGTATCCAGGAGGGTTTGAACAGAGTCAACTCTACACCAGATCCAAAAAAGCAAGTTTAGAGGGAACCCTAAGGACACATTGCTGGGGTGCCCTTAATGTGCTTTCAGGGCAGCAGTTTTTGTTTCAGTATTAGAGTTGCAGCTGGGGGAAAGGGAGATGCATTTTTAATTTTTTTTTCTCCATTGCAGATTGTTCTGTGGTGCAGAACAGCACAAAATAGTTGGTACAGAAAAGGAACCAATATTTGCAATAAACCCCTGTGCTTTACACACACCCAATGTGCTTTTCTTAGAACATCATCCTTCCTGAGCTGTGGAAATCTCAAATGTGGTTTTGCTGCCCTCCTTGGAGTGACTGAGGTGAGACAAACTCCTTGATTCACTGCATGTTATCTTACAGAGTTGCTCCCAGAGTACTGGAATGTACTTTTTAATGGCCTTTTTTCAAATTTTATTTTAATAACTTGTAAATACACTTGGACAAGTTTCAGTCTGCAATCAGGTCATAAGATTTTATGGAGAGTGGCTGGATTTCCATCTTTCTTGAGGTACTAAGTGCTAAAAATTCTCATTCCTTGACAGACTTTATAGCAGCTATAAAGTTTTAAAGCTTTTAAAGCTTGCTGAATTGCAATCTTGACTGTGTGCTTTTCCCCCATCCCCTTCCCTGGGGCAAGGAGATGCCTGTGGATGGAAGTTCCAGGAAACCTTGGCCAAAACTCTTTTGGGCTCGTAGCCTGTGTACAGACACTGTACCCTCAGCTACTGGTGTGCAGGGACAGAGTGCCAGACAGGTAAATACATTGCCAGCATCCCATAATAGTCTCACATGCGACTAGGGGCTTCCAGATGATGGATTTCAGCCTTTAAATAAGTTAATGCTTGGTGAATTCAGGACGATTCAGTAACAAAATCCTGACTGCTCCATCCTCTGTTACCCACTGAGAGAATCTGTAAACCTGTGATGGCTGAAGTTTCTCTTCTCTGTGGAGAATCCACAGAGCTGGCTGAAAAACTGAGAGAAAGGAAAAGGAGAAAATGGAGAGAAGACTTTAACAGAGAAAGAGATAAGAGGATCTATAACAGAATTTCCCTGTCCCATATGCTGGTTTGGTCCCTGCCCATCACTGGATAAAGAAATTTCCAAGATAGACTCAAACAGCCCCACCAAAACCTTTTTATCTTTTTTCTTTGGGAAGATGATGCAGACTGATGGGTTTTCTTGCTGTAAGATTTTTTTTCCCTTAGTCCAAGTTTTCCTTCCTCTGATCCATCATTTCCTTTCAGTTGCACTCTCAGTGTTTTGTGGTTTGGAGCCTTCCTTGCAGTGTTTGGTGTTGGGGACCCAATCCCAGGCTCCACCATCAGCACTTCATTCACCCTCAGGGGCCCCAGTGGCATCTCTGAAGCAGCAAGAGGTTGACTCATAAAGGGTCTGGATAGCTGGAAAGGATAGATGTGACGTTTTGCATCAGTCTGAAAGATCAGGACCAATCCTTTGGGCATTTTTACATCCTTTATTCCATACATATGATTAGAGGTAAGATAAAGAGATAAAGAAGGATATTGGAGAAGCAGAAACTTAAATAAAATAATCATTCTATCTTGAACTACAGTTCAAGTCCAAACCTTTGTCAGCTGTAGAAAATCATGGACACATGGCCTAATGATGGGATTCTTGGGGAGCTGGACTTGGATGGTACTGATGGGTCCCTTCCAGGTCATCATATTCTATGATGGTATGATTCTGATAAAAGAAGAAAATCAGGGTGATTTGAGACAAGCCAGAGATTAACCTGGAACAGGGCAGTCAGTTTGGCACTGCACAGGCAAGGCTCTGCAAACATTTATTTGGCTCCACGGAAATAAGGCAAATTATTGCTCAGGAGCATCTGGCTTCCCTTTGTAGCTTATTTCACAGCAAAATGCACAATGTTTCCTTTCACAGGTGAGTTGAGATAAACCCTCACAGATTCCTGAGCACTGAGGAAATGCCTCCTTCCCAATCCAAGACTCGGCAGAAAAAGGCTGGAAAAGAGAAGGTTTGTGACAAAAACTCTGCAGGAGACTCAAAGATCCACCGTGGGAAGTGGAGGGAAGATCAGAGCAGAGGCCAAGTGAAGGCCAAAGAGTTACTGCCTGGACAAGGTGATGGCCTTGGAGAAGAGCCCTTAAAAATCCAGAGGCTGGGGAGGCCTCAGGAAAGCAAAGAAAATGACCACAAGAAGTTATTCCAAAAAAAAAGAGCCTGCAGGAGAAATGATAAAAGTGAATCCGGTTTGGGGAGAAAACGTGGAGTGTCCAGGTTGGAGGGGAGAAAAGGAAAGGCTTGTAAGCAAAGGGAAATGCCATCAGGGCAGGAGACTGAGGACAGCAGTGACAAGGAAGGAAAAGCCATCACAAACAGAAAGAAACGGAGTTTTAAAAAGAGGTGTGGAAAGAGACTTGGTGAGACAGGCTCTGAGCTGGGGGCTGCAAAGGCTATCACAGAACAGGGTGCTAAAGGCTCTTTTCAGAAACAGAACTTGGCAGAAAAGGCACAGAACCCCAGGGGAAGGCACAGAGGGAATTGGGACTTCAAGGAGGCTTCTGAACAGAAATCAGGTTCTCAATCCCAAGGCAGTACAGCACAGGAAAAAGGTGAGAGGACTGGGAAAAAGCAAGTTGAAAATCTTACCAGGATTGTCATTACTGAAAGTGAGGATGAAAATATTCTGGAAACCTCAGGTAACTCCTGCTCTGACTCCAGCAGTGAAGGCCATGGAACCCACAGAACAGCTACAAAGGAGACTGTGGTGGACAGCACTTCCTCCAGTGAAGAGAAAAGCAGCTCTTGTGAAGAGAAGAGCAGCTCTTGTGAAGAGAAGAGCAGCTCTTCAGGGGAAGATGGCAACAGTGGGAAAGAAGTTGTGCTCAAAGATCCTCCTGTGAGTGAAGGAAAAGGCTACAAGGAACTGGCTGATGAAAGCAAGGAAGCATCTATTGAACCTGAAAAGGAGCAGGTGACCACAAGTGGAAAAATTGAATCTGAGGCCAAAGGCACTGAATTTGCAGAATTGGAAGCAGAGGAGAGGATGAGGAAGCCAGACAACGTGCTGAGACAACCGGAATGTGCTCCAGCTGAGAGCAGTGAGGCAGATGATCAGTTAAGCACTTCAGGACCCCCAGTTAAGAGTGTTAAGGAAAGGAAAAATATTGAAGTAGACAAGGAAAATATACTAGAAAATGACAGAGATATGTCAAAAGATGGACCAGTGAATTCTGACAGCAGTGGGGAGAGCAGCCCTGTAGAGAATATTGATGAAATAAAAGAAAACAAACCAGAACTGCTCCCAACTGCTGTGAAAGCAGAACTCCACATTCACCTTAGCAGATGTGAACAGGAAAAGAAGGTGAATGATGAAGGCAGACAGGTAGAAGATGGATCTTTCCTCTCCAAGGAGCAGAAGACATTGAAGGAGAAACCTGGAAAATGCAAGATCCCAGAACAAGGTGAAGAGGCTGGGCATAGGCAGAGGGACAGTTCAGACTGCAGCAGGCAGGACCTGCCAGCTCTGATGCTTACAAAGAAATGTCCTTCTCAATCCCAAATCCCTCTGGAAAACCAGCATAAAAACACTGAGATCAAACTATCACCAAGAAACCAGAAACCAAATCCTGCCCAGATGGCTCTGGGAACCAGCTCAGACCTGAACAATGTTGCAAACATCTGTTCAAAACCCATAACTCTAGAAACTCCCAGTAAACAGAAAGAACCCAACATAGCTCAGAGTTTTGGAGAGAAAAGATTAAATACTTCAAGCTGCTCCACAATTACAAAAGAATTGTCTGATAAGCAGCTCTTTGGAAAGAAGAAGAAAGTTGGAAAAGTTATTGGAAAAGTTAAACAGAGTTCAGGCCAGTCTACAAAGGCAAAAAAAGAGAAAGCAGAAGAAGTGGTTGCAGAGGCACCTTCTGAAACAGAACCTGGGTACGGTGGGGAAGGATCCAAGCACTTGCACACCCGTTGTGCTTTTAGAAAAGTCACCAGCTGGCTTGGCCAAAAACCTGCCAAGAAAGCAAGGCTGAAAGCTCGATTGCTGAGTGTGGCACGTGCAATTGGTATCTCCAGTTGGCTCTTGAAGAAATTTGGAAAGAAGAAGAAGAAGAGCAGCAAACCTTTTGGATTCAGAAGTAGAATGGCAATCCGGATTCTGAGCACTGCTGGGTGGGCTGGTCAGTCTGGCAAAGCCTTCCCTGGTGGAGCTGAACAGCTGGAGAGGGCTGAGCTGAGGGACAAAGAATCTTCTGCTGCATTAGTGGGGGGGAAAGGTGGTCCTAAAATGATAGAGGAAGTGGAACACATTGATTTGGCTCCTGGTGATTCCCCTGCTCATGGAACCGGTTCCTTTCCATGCTCAGATGAGAAGAACAGTGCTACTGATGCCAAGTTTGCTGTAGTGTTCCCCAGAGTCCACAGCTTGGTAAAGGCTAAGAACTCCTTGTCCAGGGGCTCTGTCAGTGGTTATTCCTTACAGAAAATGAAATCTCCATCAGAGAGAAGATCTGTCACTCCTGTGCAACAGAGTCACAGATTCAAATGTGACCTTCCCAGACCTCTGACGGATCCAAGCCAGCGAAACAGTGAGCAGGGCTTCCTCCCACATCGAGAGGAGGAGCCACTTCATACATCAGATTATTGCAGTGAGGTGGACACCAAGGAGGGTTCAGGTGACCTCCAGACTGCAGGGGCCGTGGTCACTCCTGGTGTGCACTGGTCCCAGCAGCAGGGATGTGACCCTGCAGCGTGGCTGAACTCTGAGCTGCTGCCACAGCCAACCATCGAGAACCTGAGCAAATGGGCCATCTCCAAGGAGCCCCAGCTGGCCAGCAGCCGTGTGAGGGTCTGCAAGGACCAGTGGGAGGCAGAAGATGTTGCTGACAACATGCTGGAGATGGAGTTCATGCAGGAACAGGTACAGGTTTTGTCCCCAGTACTGGAATGGAACTGAACTTCCCCTGATTTTCAGCCATGTATCTGTGCATTTCAGGTGTACATGTGTGAAGAACACTGTGCAGAACTTGAGGAGATTGAAGATCTAACCAGACTGGAGTAGGTGTCCTCAGTGTCTGCAGCTCATTCAGGGGCTTGCCTGTTATCCTGCAAAGGTGTCTCAGCAATAGAAAACACATTACAGATCCTTAGCTAGATAAGAGAAAATAAAATTTTTCCTCTGTGGGAGAAAACAGAATTGATTGGATGCATATCATAGCTGAGTAACTGATGCCCTGCTGAAAAGCTAAGTGAAAGACTGAATTTTAGTATTTAAGTTCTGGACCTACACTGAACCACTGGGGAGGAGCAGAGGTGCAGAGGGAGCTCCTGGCTGTTATGTAGAGCATGTCCCCAGGCTCTGCTGCAGAGAGGGCACATTGAACCTCTGCAGTCACACCCCAGAGCCAGCAGCTCAGCCTGGTTAACAGAATTCTGTACAGCTGCATCCCTGGAACTCTGTTCCTCCTGTTAAATGGTTCCCAGTCCTGAAATGGTTCTAAAAAAACCACAAAATTCTTAATGGATAGGGGAAATTAGGTTTAGAGGCTGATGTGACTTCTGTGATGTAGCAGAAGGACAGAACTGGGAATTTAACAATGCCTTTCTTATTGTATGAAGTGAGTGGTGAGAAAGGACAGATTGCAGGATGAGAAGCACATTTCTATGTTCTTTGCCTACTGACATTGACATCTGTAGTTTAGTGACTCCTGTTGCCTTGAGCTGTGAAAAATTCATCTTTAAGAGCTGTTTAACCCTTGGTTCACTGCTGCTGTTGAAAGATGAGCCCCTGACACTGCCCCTCACACATCCTCCCCTCCTGCCATCCTGCTGAGATAAACACCTGTAAAGGCTGTGCAAGGAGCTGTGATCACACAGAGGAAGTTCTGGGCTTTGAATGCTCCATTCTCTGATGTGTTTTAATCCTGGAGATGTTGTAACCACACGAAGGCAGTGAAGAGTTTCAGTCCCAGCTCCACACAAAATCTTTGACCCCCGTTCAGGCCATTCATTTAAGAGTTGGACTCCATGATCCTTGTGGGTCCCTTCCGACTCAGAATATTCTGTGATCCTTGGGAGGGCAGAAAGGTTAATATTTAATATTAACACATGCAAGTGAAGCTTATGACTGACAAATCCTTTCCTCTGTTTGTAGGGAAGTCTGTGAGAGCTCAGTCCTGCTGTGCCTGAAGAAGAGGTTCCACTGCAATCTCATTTATGTATGGATAGTGATGCTTGGCTTGGTTTTCTTCACTGCTTATTCACTCTGAACAATGAGCTTTAAGAGAAAAATGTTTATATTATGCCATCAAGCTTTAATAATGCACCAAGTACCTCACTCATTACCAGGAACAATGATAAAAAGTATTCTCACACAGCTTTTACTCAGAAATCAGGTAGCATGAATATTTGGGCTGAAATCTGAAAGTTCCAGAGTTTCTCTGCAATTTTGGTATTTGTTGCCAATACCTGTGAGCATACTTGGTTTCCTTTTTAGCTTCAGCTGCTCCTACTGGGACTCTCCTATTTTAGCAGAGAAGTTCTGAGTTAACAATTGTGGATCTTGAGAAGAAACCTCAGAGTTTCTGCAAACATTTCACAGTGTTGCAGTCCAGATCTGGTTGTGGATGGTTAATTGTTCTCTTTTCCATTTACTGGCTCAAGTGTTCAAACCTGTACCTGTAATTTCACGTGGAGCTTGGAGAATAGATAGAGCAGGTGACCACAGACCAGTGAATGCTCACTTATCCCAAATTATTGATGACAGAGATTAGAAAGTGACCACTGAAAAGCTGTGTCTTTGATAAATCGGCAGGATAATCAGAATAAATAATATTCCTTTAAAAGGGATTTGTATATTTGTATTAATATATGCATTCAGCTGCCTCCCTCATCCAGAAAATTCTAAGAAGCCACCAGATTTTCCCCCCTTTCTTTTTTTTTTGTCCTAGACTTACATTGGGCAAATTTTGATTTCTGTGAATCCTTTCAAAGACCTCAGTATCTACTCTGAAGATGTGGCTACAGAGTACCAGCAAGGGACTCTCTCAAAAAATGCCCCGTATGTTTTTCTTTCTCAAATAACTTTCTGAACCCTGTTCTGTTTGTGCTCCAGAAAGTATTTTATTTTCCTCCAGTTCTCTGGTAGAGCAGGATGAATGTCACAGGAAGTGAACAGCCCGTTTGGCAAAGCTGTAGTTGCTTGGGGCTCTAATTCTACAGAGCTAAAGTTCATCCCTGGAAGTGTCCAAGGCCAGGCTGGACAGGGCTTGGGAAAATCAGATCTAGTGGAAGTTGTCCCTCCATGGCAGAGGAATGAGATAGTCTGTAAGGTCCAGACACATCTTTGCCATAGCACAGATGGCCTACACGCTGTCCCAGTCATCAGAGCAGGAGCAGTGTGTTGTCATCAGGTAGGAACTGAAGGGCTTTGTTGGAGGCTCTTTAATTTCTTTATGTAAAAGTTCCACTTTTGTATTTCACTGCCTGTAAGTTGATCCTTCTGGCTCTTACGTGAGGGCTGCTGTGGAGAACCTGAATAAGGTGGATTTTTATTTCACTCTGTGCAAAACCAGTTTGAATTTCATTTCACTTCAGAAGACTGGGAGAGAAGGAGTCTGATATTCCCCAGTGGAATCCTATTTGGGCCCATTTTGTCAGGTTATCTCAATGTTTCAAGCAATGGGTGATAGATTTTCAGCTGTAAATCAGCACAACCCCTCTGATTTGCTGTAGCAGGGCCTCTGATGAGCCCAGATCAGGTACCTCTGTTTTGATGCCAACTTCTCCACCTCTTGCTCCTGCAGTGGGCAGAGTGGATCAGGGAAAACAGAAGCTGCCAAAGCCATTGTGCAATACCTGACCATGCTGTACCAGGGATCTGACAGCCACAGGATCAGACAGGTAACAGGCAAGGGAGCTTGGCTGGAGGCTGTGAGGGTTGGGCAGGGAAAAGAAGCCAAGGACAGGGGAGAGAGGCCATGCTGCTGATGTTATTTCTGTGGCTGGACTTGGGAGGGTTTGTGCTCCACGGTGAAACTCCCATAAAAACTCAAGGACAGCTGGTGTATTTATAGTTCTGTATTTTAATACCTGGGAGATGTGAAAACTGCTGTATCTGAACAGTGAGCTGGCAGCTGCCATGGAGAGCTTTTGGCAGAGTCTGGGAGGTGAATCTTTATAAACACAGAGCAGAAGTAAAGTGAAAGATTATAGCAGCAAGCGTAAAGAGCTCACAGAGCAACTCACCACTTGCTAGAGAGAATGATACCAGGGCACATTTAAAAAGATATCTTTTACCCATGTGAGAATTACATCACTGAAGTCCCATTTTTGTTTTATCTTTTCAAACTGACAGGTACCTAAACCCCTTTTGGGTTTAAAAACCTGTGATTCCTATTGAAGTGTTCCCTCCCTCTTTTTTTTACAGCCCTGCAATGTCCTACCCATCCTGGAGAGCTTTGGAAATGCAAGAACCATCCTCAATGACAACTCCAGCCGTTTTGGAAAGCTGCTGAACGTCCACCTGCGACAGTGAGTTGAAGAATCTCCTCGGGCCCCTGCAGCTGCCAAGGGGTGTTTGGGTGAGACCAGGTGGAGCAGTGCTGAGAGTTCACACAATAACCCCCCTCCCCTTCACTCTTGTTGTCATCAGGGTAGGAAGAGGGCGAATTTACACCCCTGTTTTGGTTTTTTTTGTGTTTCCTCTGAAAAAGAACAGAGCATAGTTCTCAAGATGAGTGTTAAATTAAGAACATAAGAATGGCTGAACTGGTTTATACCAAGGACCCATTTGATACCCTGCTATGTCCTCAGCACTGACCTCAAGCACTGCCTGAGGCAAGAACAGCCCAAATACACACTCTGCTTCTCCCTAACACCTCTTGAGCTCTTCAACATTTGCAGCAGCTCAGTTTTCCTCTGTCTCCTGAGGTTTTCCAGTCTCTTCTTGGATTCATACAAACTTGATAGTGCTGCAACAGCCTTTAACAAGTGTTCCACAGGTCTAACAAGTTCTGTGAAAACCACCTTTCTGTTTTGAGCCTGCCTCCTTTCTAATTTCTGGGTTTGATTGGTTTGTTTGGGGTTTTTTTTTTCTGACCTTTGCCAAGCACTGAGCTGATTCTTTCATGGAACAGTCTATCAAAACCCTCAGGTCTCAGTCCCGAGGAGGGATGGTTAAACTGGAGCCTGTTTATGTGTGAAGCTGGGTCTGCACCCATCACTTCACATTTATCTACAGTAGGTTTTGTGTGCCATTTTCTTGCTCACTCTGCACTGTAAGGTCTGTCTGCATTTATTCACAACTGGCCTTCATCCTCTCTACCCCAGATAATTCCATACAAGCAGGAAGCTTTGACCCATTGCTGTTCAGCTCCTCTTCTAGGTCACTTACCAAACCCACAGCTGCACTCACAGGTCAGGTACAGACACTTTGTGGAACTCTGATGGTGGTTTCAGACTGTTAAAAGAATTCACCTTTATTCCTACCCACATTAGGATTTTCCTTCTTATTCTGTGCATGCTTGGTTTCCCTGAAAGTCCCACAGTTTTGTCAAAATATTTTGAAAAGTCATGCAGATTATATCCCTAAGATCATTCTTACCTGCAGAGACACAAGTCTGCAGAAAAGCAGACCCCAGCTTCTGACAGGATCTGTTGTCTTACTCTCAGTGGCATCGTGGTGGGAACATCCATCTCCCAGTACCTGCTGGAGAAGTCTCGTGTGGTGTTTCAGGTGAGGACCAGTGGCCCCCTCTCTCCCTTATTCACATTTCATCTTAAACTCACTGTTAAGTGTCAGGGGTGGGAATCTGTATGAAAATTACTTTCCATTTCTTCTATTAGCAAGAACTACGTCCCCTCTATGTAGCACAGGGTGATCACTTCTTTTATTTGAATAAAATAGGAGGTTTCTCTGTCTCAAACAGGTTGAATTAAACCACTTATTAGGGATTACTGACAGTTGAATCTTCCCTCAATTAGTTTTTCTTCATCTCTGGAGTGTGGAAATGGTCAAATATTAGAGCTGTGTGAAGGCCTTCTCTCAGATGGATGTTCTTAAGGTGTCAGTGGAAACCCTGGAAAGTTTTCAAATGAAGTGGTTCTGACTTTGTCCTGCTGACCCCAGAACCTGTGTCCTGCTCTGTGAGTGTGTTCTGGAGGGGTTTGGAGCTGGATGTGAATCAACTCCTTGACTGTGTCCCATCAGGCCCACGGTGAGAGGAACTACCACGTGTTTTACGAGCTGCTGGCAGGGCTGCCCATGGAGCAGAAAGAGGAGATGTATTTGCAGGAGGCAGAGTCCTACTTTTACCTGAACCAGGTGAGTGAGCTGAGGGTGCTCTGCAGCAGCTGGCAGAGAGAAATGGCCCAGGCACCCCTTCTGTTTGCTTAGAGAGGCACCAAATCACTTTTCTTCCCTGCAAAGGACTCTCAGGACTATGCTAAAGTCAGCTCTGCTCCTTCTCATACTCTGCTCCTTCTCAAACCTGATCTAAGGATCAACATCTTTGTCTCTTTTGTGAACATTTTCTCACCTTTCAGTCCCCGTCTACTCTGGAAGGACAGACTTTACCGAGGAGTCGTTGTGTAGACTCATGGCTCCATCGTGTGGTGTAAAACCCCTTTTCCCATTGCCTTTCCTTGCATTTGCAATTTACTGCAAAAAGCAGGGAGGATTTCTTTCTGTCTTCTGCAAAACACTTGCTTTATTGACTGAGTCAATGGGTGCAGATTTTAAATCACTGAAATATACTGCTGATTGCAATTATTTAAATTAAATTTAAATTTGCTTGTCAGACTTACATCAAGCCACAATCTTGGAAAGCTTTTTTTTTTTTCTTTTTTTTTTTTGGGGTGAGTGTAGGTTTTGTTTTGTTTGAGTTTTTTAAGATTGTTTTCCATAATCAAGGAGGTCACAACAATTGCAAGAGATTTTTCCTATATCAGCGTGAGCCAGCTTTCCCAGGTGGCAAATTCAAATTCTTGGCAGAAGCTGCGGTCAGGAGGAATCCTCGGTAGTGATTGCTATCAGCTCACCTTCAGGCGAGCAATGGACAAGAGCCATTAATGACTCAAGGATGGAGCGCAATTAAGGGCCCAGCCCTTAATGGGTGATTGATGGCTCCTGGCTGGCAAAGCATCATAAAACAAAGTCATCGAGGTGATAATTAACAGGAATATCCCAGCCTGCTGCGGAGAAGGAAAAGGGAACAAGATCAGATTATGCACAAAAGAATTAGCAGAGACTGACAAAATCGATTTTGGCAAGAAGAGGCCCAAGGGCTGCCTGGACCTCATCCCTGTCTCACCAAAATCAGCTGGGAGCTATGGTCAAAGAATGCCCTTGAACACAAAGAGGGTCTGCAGAACCCCTGACCCAGGATTTCTGTGACCATCAGGGTCACAGGCAGCTGCTGGGAATGTTCTTTTGTAAAGAAAAAAAGCAGCAGAGGAGTGAGAGGAGTGACAAGCCCGTGTTGTGGTGAAGCTCTCACCTGTGGCCGGGGTGAGACAGGCTGTAACCCTGGGGGGCTCCCGGGGGCACAGAACCCCAGCTGGTACCGACTGGGGCAGCAGCTCTGCCATCATTTACCTGGGAGCAGACTCAGGCACCGCCTCTCAAGCTCTGCCCGGACAGGGGGATCCTGGGCACCTTGCACTGGAATTCCAGCAGAAACTTGGTATGTGAGGATAAGAGAGATCTTAATCACGAAACTCCTGAGGGTAAAGACACTGGCCCCTCACCACAAATGCTGAGTTTCCACTAGAGGTGTCTTTTATCTCTTCAGATTCCTCCAGTCCTTAAAACATTGAACTGCTTCTCTGCAGATTCCTGGTGGTGGGTTAACCCCTGCCCGAGGCTAAAGGGGCTGATCACGATTATCTGTCCCTTTTCTCTCAGGGCAGAGCATGTGACGTCCTGGGAAAGGAGGACAGTCAGGATTTTCTGGTCTTGGTGCAAGCTCTGGAGGGAATCAGCCTCTCAGAAGATCAGCTGAGCTCCACCTGGGCTGTCCTGGCTGCCATTCTGCAGCTGGGGAACATCTGCTTTACCTCCTATGAGGTACAGTAACCCCAACAGCTTGAGAATGGGATATTTGTGCTGAATATTGCTGTTGTCTCATAGTGGAGCCGAGGACATGATTCCTGACTGAGGATGAAGTCCTTTGAAGACTTTTCTGTCCTTTCAGTGTTGTGCTCTAAACTGGTCTAGGCAGGGACAGAAGATGGGAGGCAACCAAAGGTCATTAGAGCTTGGGTGGCTTTTTAATGAACCTGGTGTTCTGCCCAGGCTGTGACCAGCTCTGTGCAGCTGAGGTGCTGTTGAGAATATTAATATAAGATATTAATACAGGAGGGACCTTGTATCCCATCCATTGTTCCTATCTATAATGTACAGTAATATAGACAGTAATATATGTATAGTAATATATAATAAAGAACACTTTATTATTTAGAAAGAATCCTTTGAACATGCAGCCATTGCCAGTGACACTGAGATTCAGATTGTGGCCAATCTGTTGTGTGTCTCAGCAGAACCCCTGCAGAGTGCTGTCACTCACCGTGTCACTGTGAGTACTTTTCTGGTGATTTCTCATTCCTCCTGAAGCATGAAATGTCCTGCCCCACTGTCCTAACCTTAGAAGGCTCAAAATGTGGGAGGTAACACCAGGAATAAAATGGTTGGGATGGGCTGAACCCCTGGAGGCAGCTCTGTAAAGATGGCAGAACTCACATCTAGGAGGGATTGTTTCTGACATGAGTGGCTTCAGGTTAATCACTTTGGCCAGCTGACTCCCACCTCTGGCAGCAAAATTCTGGGTTTAATTTTCCTTTTCATATCTGGGTAAATTCTCACCAAATAGAAAAAAATATCCATTTATTGACTGGGTTGACTTCCTTGTAGGTTAAAAGGAAAAAGGTGTTTTTGTGAGATAATAAAAGTAAATTCTCTCTTTACATATCCAGGTTACATCTTATGATCGGATCTTCTCCCCTCTGTCTGTGGAAGGAGCCATTGATGCCAGGTGACTTCTGCTGATGTCTGGGTGGGTGAGATGCAGCCAGAGGTGCTGTCTTTGCAGTAACTGGTTCTTGTCCCCTCTCCCACTCAGGGACTCCATTGCCAAGGCTCTGTACTCCCTGCTCTTTGAGTGGCTGCTGCTGAGGATCAATGAGTGGTTGGCTCCCTGGGAGTCTGACTGTGCCTTGGGCATCGTGGACATCCATGGCTTTGAGGTTATTTTTCATGTTTGTCTGCTATGGCCTAGGCAGTGAGGGCTCACCAAGGCTTTGGAGTATTTTACTTAAGGCTCTTGTTAAAACCTGTGTGTCCCAATGAATACTGGAAACAATGGAATACAGAGGTGGGGCTGTGCATCCAAGAGCAGATCTTCTCTTCATTGTGCTCCTTCACAGCTTGTCTCACTCTGGCTGTTCAGCCTGCTCAGTAAGCCAGGCTGAGAGCTTGCAAACCGGACAGAAGATGGTTTGAGCTGTTGGGTTTCATTCACCCTGGCCAGAACCAGCAGCTCAGCTCAGCCTGTGCAGCATTTACAGGGAGCCACAGCTCCCTGGGCCTCAGAAGTGATGATCCCTTCTTCTCTTTGCAGGATCTGGGGGTGAACAGCTTAGAGCAGCTCTGCATCAACTTTGCCAATGAGCACCTCCAGTGGTTCTTCAGCCAGACTGTCATTGCCCAGGAAGAGGTAAAGTGGAATTCACACTGCTTTAAGGCAGCACACAGGGACTGAGCTGAGGCATCCTCAGAGCATCCCTCAGCAGGGAACAGGAAACTGAATGGTCCCTCAGAGGGTAAAGCCTTTTGGCTTCTTTGTAGCACTTTCTGTACCACTTATGTCCTGGGGATGGAAGTGTATTTATCAGACTTGTTGCCTTCTATAATTCACTTTATCACTCAGCTTAGAAGCCTTCCTCTCTCAAATCAGGAAAATCATTTGTGGCTTTAAAAGAAGTTTCATAGGACAAAACCAGACAATTCTAGGCAAGTTCCTAACAGCAGTAAAACACTAACTTCCTAATAAACAACCCAAATCTCTCTGTTAATTCTCTCCATTTGTCCTTGTTTGCATGGCTGGATTTGGCCTTTAACATGCAGGAGGAATACAGCCAGGAGCAGTTAGCTTGGATTCCTATTTCCAAGATGTACAGTGAGTCCTGCCTGGATTTCCTTATTGCAAAGCCTCATGGCATCCTGTGCATCCTGGATGACCAGACATCCCTGACCCAGGTGAGGAGCTCAGCCTCTCATGGGATCCTTTTCAAAGGATGGTTAAGGTGAGGCTGTTTTCTGGAATGATTGCACAACTATTCAGTGTTTTTACCTTCAGTTTAATAGTGACATTTCAGCCTAGTGAGTGTGTGGCAGCATCAGGGAATCTCTTTTACAGGCCACAGACCACACTTTCCTCCAGAAGTGTCATTACCACCATGGGAACAGCCCTTGGTACACCAAGCCTAAGCTGCCTTTGCCAGAGTTCACTGTGCAGCACTACGCTGGCCCTGTCACCTACCAGGTGAGCTGGCAGGGGCTCGGAGGAGCTGAACAAATAACCCATCCTGGGGACAAGCTGTGGGTGTCCTGAGGGACCAGCTCAGTGATCAAAACTTTCCCCTTGTGATGGCACATCCCTCTAGAGCATCAGATTATCAGAAGAAAGGAGAAGAGAGCCAACTAAACTGCCTCTGGGCAGAAGCGAAATAGGAATTGCCCTGAGTGATGCAACAGCCTCAGAGCCCTGGAAATGCAGGAAAGCTCTTGCTGCTGGGGGAAAAGAAAAAAAATAAAAATAAATAAAAATAAATAAAAATAAGAGAGGTGAAAGCCTGCTGGGTGAAGGAGGAAAGGAGCAATCCCTTCTCAAAGCAGAAGTCATTGTCCTCTGCCACCATCTATCCTGGTGGCAGCAGGAAGAACCAGCTTAATTCTCCAGGGCTTTCCCTTGTTCCACCTCTCCAGCTGCCTGTCTCCAGTCCCAGTGTGTGTAACAGGAGTGATTGCCTGTCTGAGTGGTCTGAAGGGTGTTTTAAATCAGACTTTGCCTCTGCAGGTCCACAAGTTTCTCAGTAAAAACCGTGACCAGCTGCGGCCAGAGGTGCTGGATATCTTCTCCCAGAGCCGCCTCAAGGTACAGCTGTGGGTCAGGAGGAAGATCTCTATTGCAGATAATCAGTGATCCACTCATCGTCTTTATATGAGAAGCAGAAAGCTGCTGATCAGGTGTCAGGAGAACCTGGAGGAGCCACGAGTTTTATTTTACTGAATTTACTTGGGAATTGAGCAAATTGTCTTTGGCTGCAATTGATGCACTTTATATAAAACACACAGACTGCCTCAGGATGCAGCTGCAGTCCTGACAATGCCAGGAGCAAGGGAAAATGGTTCCCCTAAGTTTCAGGTAGAAGAGATTCTTCTTTCCACATAGTTCAGTGAGTTTTTGGTAATTTCTTTGTTTTTGCAGGTGGTGTCTCACATTTTCCAGAGGGCTAAAGCTGCCTATGGTCAGCAAAGGGAGTTGTGGGGCAGGGGCAAAGGGCTCAGGCCTCAGGCCTCCACACTGGTGTCCAAATTCCAGCAGTCTTTGGAGGACCTCACAGCCAAGCTGAGAGGGTGAGAGATGCTGTTGGCACACAGGAGTGTGAAGTCTTCCAGGGGCAGCACAGAGAGGAGGGTGATCCATGGTTCTTCCTTCTGTTTTCCAGGAGCCATGCCTTCTTCATCCGGTGCATCACCCCTAATCCCAGGAAGGTAGGGCAGCACCCTCAGCTCCTTATGGAGTCCCTCAGTTCCTTCATTTGTCTTCAACAGCTTTCCTTGCACAGCCGGGATTTAAACTTTGTTTCATTTGATAGCTGGAGACTTTTCTTCCCTGTTCTGTGTGCCACCCTTCCCTGTGGCCATGTGGGTTTATCCTGTGCTGCAGGAGCAGAAGCCAGGGTCAGCTGGACACCAAAGCATCCCTTGGGCTTTGTGTTCCATGGCCCACAGCCCATGGCAAGATCCAATCTAAGGACAGGACAAGAGAAGGAGACCCGTTCTAAACTCCCTGCCTTCAGCCTCCTTTCTTTAATTTTTCTTTATTTCTTGTTTTTAATTTTTTCTTCTGCTTTATCTTTGCAGCTGTCAAATATCTTTGATGTGGAGTACGTCAGCAGCCAGCTGCGGCATTCCGGGATCCTGGAGGCCATCCACATTCGGAAGGAGGGATACCCAGTCCGTCTGCCATTCCAGAGCTTCCTGGCCAGGTACAGGGCTGGCCTGGCTTGGGATCCCCCAGCCCTGGATGTTTTGTCCTCTGAGGGCTCCACGTACAGCCCTGGTTTTTGTCACAACCTCGTGTGCCAGGTACGGGTTCCTGGCTGGGAGCAGGCCCAGCAGCGTGGAGCAGAGGGAAGGCTGTGCAGCAGTGCTGGCTCGCGTGGTGGGGAGCCCCTCGGATCTCTATCAGATTGGAGTGACAAAGGTGATGCCTACAGAGATTCCCACCTGGATTGCACAGCCCCACCCACCCATTCCCAGGCTAGCAAAGCATGGAGAGGAGCTCAGCCTCTGCCCAAAGAGCGAGGGCCTTGCACACCTTCCCCCTTCACCTTTGCCTCTTGCCTCAAGAACTAAGGAGGCCTTTGTAGCACTTCAGATTAACAGGAGACTCCAGCTCCAGGCTATTGTAGCATGCCCAAGTCCTCTGTATACCCAGCATTCCTGGGCTTTACTTTTGCCACCTTCTTCCCTCTGTGATTCCTTGTCCACCACAAATGCATCTGTCTCTGTCACGTGCACCTCCTGCCCTCCCCAGTTTCTTTAGCGAAAACCCTTGAGGGCTACAAAGGGATAAACCAGCAGTTTTTGTTATTGATCAGCTCTGGGAGAAGCTGCTGCTTCCCTCGTGGCTCAGCAGCTGCTGCCTTTGCCCAGGTGTTTCTGAAGGAGAAGGCCAGGCAGCTGCTGGAGAGACGATGGCTCCAGAGGCAGAGCTGGGCTGTTGTCACTCTGCAGAGGAAATTCCGCTGCCTCCTCCGCCGCCGGCGCCTCCGTGTCCTCCAGGAGAAAGTCACGGTCATCCAGGCTCACTTCCGAGGGTACCAGGCAAGGTGAGGAGTCAAAGGCCAGCCAAGGGACAGCCCTTTGGCCTTGTCAAGGGACACACAGGTGGGGATGTCCAGGCCCCCCCTCATGTTGGCTCCTGGCCTGCTCCATGTGTGTTTGTGTGGCTGATGTATCCCTCATTAGATGATTCTTTTCTTTCCTCATCCTCTAGGAAGCGTTACAGGAGGCTGAAGAAGACTTTGGTGCAATTTAAAACCATGATTTTAATCTCCAGACCTTTGGTTCGGAGGAGGAAGCGCTGCCAGGTAACAGCAGTCCTGTCAGAGCAAGGTGTACAGGAGGGGCTATTCCTGCCCTAGGCAGAGCGAGCTGGGGACTGGGTGAGGCCAGGGCAGGGATAGCCTTGGAAGGTTTGTTGGGAATGACCCAGTGAGGTGTCCTTCACCCTCTGTCTGACACAAATGTAGTCAAATGAAGGAAACACAGAGGCTGGAACCTTCTCTCTCTAGATGACATTCAGAATTGGTGCAGGTATTGCATACACAGCTGATTCATGGGTCTGGCTGTGTGAGCCAGGGTGGGAATGATGCCTTAAGTTTTAGCTTTTATATTTTTCAGATCCTGTACTGTATTAGTGTATATCTTTGAACTCCAAATAGAGTGTTGGTAGGCTCTCTTCACAGTTTGGTCAGACAGAACAATCCTTCCAGGTCTGAGATCCACGGTCACAGTCACAGCCTGTAAAAAAGTATAAACAAAAATGAACTGGGGGAAGCAAACTGGGAGAATGTGACTTCATTACCTGAAGATGTAATTGGACAATTAACCCCTGATATGCAAATATACTAAATTTATTTCTGTCTGAAAAACTCGTGACCATCATCCATCTTGGGTGTAGCCTCTGTGAGGCTTTGCACTGCCCAAGGTTTATCAGTTGAAGGCCTTTAATAAATACCTACTTTATTCTCTAACTCTGTCTAGCCTCTGTTCTAGGTAGCCACTCCAGGCATCACTCCAGGCTGCCCTACATGAGACAAGAGCTAGTTCCATCTGTGGTCTTCAGAGCTGCTGTTCTGCTCAAGCTGTAAGGAGTCATTCATCTTGCTTTTTTTGTTGCCCTGTTCTAATTCTGATGGTGACTGAAATGTAAGATTTTTTCAGTCCATCATGATCCTCCCCTGATCCCTTTCAGCTGCCTCAGGCTGCTCAAGCCCTTGGCCTCTTGGAAATCAGCTGGGGTGAGAACAGGATGGCAGGTTTTTGAGAAGATGGAAAATGGTGTACAGGAGAGAGCCATGGTTCTGTCAAATGGGTATAATGTAAACTATTAAAATAAAATCAGAAGGAGGAAATCAGACCACTCATCCTTAGAGTAGAAACAAACCTCTCATAGCTGTCAGCTTTACAAGGGAAGGACCCAGTGCAGCTGCTGGCATGGCTAAGGGTTAAGGACAGTTGTTGATACAAACCTGCAGAGGTGCCTCCTCTCCTGCCATGTCCAGCACAGACTGACTTTCTGTTCTGTTTCTTGCCCTTCCCACTAGGACAGGATCCAGCTTTTCTTTCTCCCAGGTAACCACACTGCAGTTCTCTTGAATCTGTTTCTGTTCCTTCAGTGTTTGTTTGCTGTACATGCAAACAAAGGTCTCAAAGTTCACCTGCTGCAAAGTTCCTCCTTTCCCCCCACCCCACAGCCCTGCCCTTTGGACTTTCACTTGTCACTGTCTTTCTTAGCCCAGCCCTGGTAGCCTCCCATGTAGTCACAGTGCTCTGCACCACTGACAGGCAGGAGAGAGGCAGAGACAGACCCTCCTTCCCCATCTCCAGCTGGGAGTCAGGTGAGTGGTGAGGCTGGAGAATGATAGAATGGATGGGAAAGAGCAGAGCTGTGAGGGAGCTGAGCTTTTGTTATCCCTCCCACCTTTCTAAAGGGTTTCCTCTCCATGGATGAGTTCATCTCTCTGTGTTCAGGCTGTTATCATGTGCTTTGATGCTGAAGGAGGTGGGTGAATGTTTCTGGCAGCTGCTGGGTGCTTTTGTCCTGACCCACATCAAATGCTCAGCAAGGGGAGGTGTGGCAGGATGCTGGGCAGGTGCTGGAGGCTCCTGCTCTTGAACTGTGTCCTGAAGGGCAGGAGGTGTTTCAGCAGAGCTCAGGTCTTTGCCTGGGCAGTCCCTTCTCAATACACTGTATTGGAGTCCCAAGAAGGCTCTGGAGCTGTTCTGTCATTTTATCTGCTGGAGCAGGACACCATCTCCTGCCCACCCACAGCATCTGCCCCCAGAACAGGAATTGATTCATACACATTTCCCACCCTCCATCCCCTTTTCATCTCCTAACAGCAGGAGTTAGAGGAAAGGAAACAAAGAAGGAGCTCCCTGGCCTGTGGTGACACAGAGAATAGTCCCAGCCAAGGAATGGTGAGTTGTCAAATGGTCTGGGAGGGTCTGAGAGAAAAAAAATCAGGTTCTCCAGGTGTTCTCCCTCTCTTGTGCCTCCTCAGCCCAGGTTTGCTGGGGAATAGCAGAACATCTAGAGGGGGCACACACGTGAGTGGAACCTAGTACAGAATGCAGGTTAGGTATAAAGGGCCTTCTAATACTGAAATATCTCATTATTCAGTGTTTCCCAGACTCTGGGCACAGCCAGGCATCATAAATCAGTCCAAACCAGAGCACTGTGTTTGTTCACAGCACTGGACCTGGTCTTCAGAGGTAGAGGGAAGATTATTTTTGGTGATCTTCTACTGTGAGGGGTGGGAATGAGGCACTTCTGCATAAATATATTAACAGAAGCTGATGTAGAGGAAGGGATGTATTAAATGCTTCATAACACATTTAGCCTGTATCAACACTTCTAACTAATGTCATTATTTATGTGTCTGGACTGGACACACATTTGCTGAAGTGTGTGTATCAAGGGAATCTGAATTGATATTATCCATAATTCTGTATAGATCTGTCAACAAGAAGAAGAAGGTGCTCTTGTATCACCTCTTCCTCAGGTGTGGATCCAGAACTGTGGAATTTCACAGTTCACTTCCTCAATACACCATTGAAAAGCCAGGCTTGAAGTCAAGTATATTCTCATGAGCAAAATCAAACTGATCAAAAATGCTGTGACTCTGTCTTTCAGCTTTATGTGGAGAGAGATGTCAAAATAATGTGCTGGTGACAAGAGGCTTTACTATGCAGATCTTAAAAAAACTCCAAAAACCAAGAAACAAAAAAAAAACCAACCCCAAAAGCTCTGTTTTTGTGACTTTGGCTTGGTTTTATTGTGCCTTAATCTGAGTAGTTCTATCTGAAATGCCCTGAGCTGACTCTACATGCAGTGATGCTGACACACTGTGTTGTATTGGCCCATTTGCTTCCTACCCTCCAGTGCAAGGTGCAAAGCAGTGAAAAATCAACACTCTTTGGCCAGATTCTCATCTGGATTACTGGGGTAGAGATCTGAGCTTTCTTAGGAACCTCCAACATATATCAAAGATCAGAATCAGGTCTTATTTTACACTGTAGCACTTTTGGATACTGAAAAATCAGAAGAAAAATGTCAGGAAAGTGCAAGAGGTAATGGCCCTTACTCTCTGCAGTGCAATATGCCAGACTTGGTAGCAATGAGGAATGAGTCAAAGAAAACCAGCTTTCCTGTCAACCCTTGTGGTAGTTGATTTTTTATTTAGGAATAGCTCCCCTTTCCCTCCTTTGCTGATCCATGTCACACAGCTGTGTTCATGCAATACCTCCCTATTTGCAGTGGTTCTGAATGTTGTGGAGGTAGAAGTCACTGCTTTGGCTCAGATGCTCCATCCCTGTCCTGGCAGCTTTTCCAAGGCAGTTTCACCCTGTCTCAGATGAGGGTTTTTATGTGGTTCCTCTGCTGGCAGCCAGTGCCTGATTTGTTTCTCTCTCCAGGATGTGGGGCTGCTGGAGATCCCTGCAGAGCTCGCAGCCCTCCTGCACTTTGTTGAAGGTGAGAAATCCTCCTCCTCCCTTCCCTTTCCTGCACTGTTTCACTGAGTATTTCCTTGTTTATATCAATGTATGTGTTTGTTCTCCCTGCTGCCTGTCACTGGGTTGGATTAGATTCATTATCATTGCAGTGTAACTCTGATAAAGACAAATGGTACCATGGATGTTCTTTCCTGACATGGTAGGGAGGAAAAGCAACTTGGGCCAAGGGGCAGAATACCAGCTTGAAAATCAGTATCTTTGTTAATTTTTCAGCTTTTCTTTTGAACTGGACTCATAGAACTGATGGCAGGAATGGTGCAAAACTCTTTGGTCAAAGATATGTAACAGCAAGCTGCTTAATGAACCCAGACAGAGATGAGTATCTGGTGTGGAAGAACTTAAACCCATCTTTTACCTACTCTAAAATCTTGGAGGAAATTGAAGGGGAAGAAAATGACATGACAGTTTTGACCATTTCAAAGAAATATTTTTAGGTTTCATTAAAAATTGCTTCCTCAAAAGAAAATTTAAAATAGAAGGAAGGAGAAACAGGGTATCTACTTGATTGTAGAACAATGTAATAACTTGAGATAAAACAATTTATCAGTCGAAGGATATAACAATATAATAACTTAAGGATGTAATAATGTAACAAGTTGAGCATGTGTTTATTTATCAATTTAGGGATGCACCAATTGGTTTTCAAATCACCAAAACACCACTAACTGCAATAATTTTACAAGCTGTTGTTCTGACCTTGAGCGTTATGTGCAGTTGTATTTCCTCTGTAGCTCACATAATAATGTGAATATTTAAGCTGCAAATAGGTTGAGGCAGGATTTGCCTCTCTCTGTCTGTGTGGTGTCAAACCCAAAGCCAGCAGTGCCTGTGGCCTGTGGGGGACAGTAAGGGAGACAATCAGGCAGAAGAGTCTTGTGAATTGGAGCAGATTGTGCTGGATTCCCAAATACTTCACATTTCATGGCAGAGCCCTCCAGGGACTATCAGCAGGTCTAGTGAGCAATGTAAGGCAGAGGAGCTCAGGGAACAGTGAAACTGCTGGAAGTGAAAGCTGATGGGAAATAAACGGGGAGGATGGGAGAGCATCAGGGGACACAGCTGGAGGTAGAGGAATGCGCAGAAGCCGTGCTGCATTGAGAAATCCCTTCATTTAGTGATGTTCTCTGTTATCCATTATAAATCCCTCTTTACAAAGACCTCTCATTTCCTTGTGGACTGGGCAGTTGTCAGCAGATCTGTATGGGCTCAGCATTTCCTGCCTGTAAATGCTGCAGAGCAGATTTGAATCTCCAGGTGTTCCCTGGAGAGAAGAGTCTGAAAGACCAGAGCTGTAAAATCTCCCTCCTGAAGAGAGTCCTTGTGTTCTCAGGGAGGTCAGGCTGTGCCTGCTGGGTGTCCCTGGAGCTGGGGCCTGGTTCAGGGGCTGGGGCAGGGTGAGGTGCA